TCGTTTAGGAATGTTATTTAAATGCAATATGATATTTTTAATAAGTCTTATTCATCTACAAGCTGATAGTATGCCGAATATGAAAATGTTAAATAAAAGGGGTAACACTGTTTACTAATAATAACAAAGATGAAAAAGAAGTGTTTTAATTGTTGACGTTTATGCAACCGTCACTTTAATCTAGAGAAATGAGAATGAAACATATAATTAAGTACTTCATATACAATTTAAAACAAACAATCCAGTAGAGTTATGTGATCATCAATGGATGAGTTATGTTAAATGTTCATAAGCACAAACTAATAGGTCTTAACTTGAATATATTCTAAAAACAGTCTTCATCAAAAAGACAGTACAACTGTTTGAAGTACATTCATGGTAGTTTTTTCTCTTATAGTTGTATTGTTCATATACAATAAATAATAAATACAATAGCAATACCATTGGCTTTGATTTCCTGCCACACCTCAATCCTTGGAATCAATAATCATAGAGTTACTATTTGGTTATTCAGCATAACTCAACTGTCCGTCAATTCCTTAAGTCATATGATAACTTGAATATTTCCTTTATCTACATCTGTTTCCATCTTTATTTAGCATTATTTTTCTAACATATATGAAATATATTTTGTCATTAAAAGTCAGTACGATTACTCATTAGATTAAACGAATGTCAGTGTTATTTTTCTACGTGTCCCTAAATCCAAATATTATTCACGAAACATTACCATCTTATACGAAAATTATTACGAAGGTAGTATTGATTGAACGGATGGAAACATAGACGTTCAACATCCATAAGCTTCAAGTCGAACTAAATGCAATATTTCACTATCGTAGAAACGTCAGTGTGTGTGACAAGGAAACAGAATTCCACTGGTATTTTCCACTAGCACTTACAATCTCTCAAATATAAGAACTTTTTGGATTTTCACGGTAATTCATCATGGAAATTAGATTCAAAGACATAATTTTATAAAACTCATTACTATTAGTTATTCAGGATCTCTTATTATCTGGGCAAGTGGTTAAGCTTATACACCACTGCCCTGAAAAAAATATCTTGAACATTCACAAAGTTGACAGACATTTTACTAGGCTACACACTTAGCATACAGGGTTGTCTCAGTCATTCTATCCAAATATAATTCAACAAAGAAAAGCTAGGTAGAAACTGTGCTAGTGACTTAAACCAACAATTAATGTGTTTATGTTTTCATTGAACACATAATGAATCTACCATACTCTGACGTAAATATCTTTGCAATATAATCATAACTATGGAGCACTGAACAGACGAATCATTAAAAACAATCTATATTTTATGCGTATAATAATAGGTGATGTAATCTAAACTTCCTTCTTGATATAAATTTTAAATCAACATGGTTTATTTTTACTTCAAGAGTCATTTTTTCTTTTAGAAAAACTCATGTGTTGGTTATCCGATTCATGTATTTGCATTGTTGCACCTGTTGTAATCCATTATGAAAATTTGTTTCGTTGTGTAATTTGGAAACATTCAACTTCAAAGTACACAGAATTGTTACTGAAGTTGGTGAAAAACGGACCTTCAGAATGATACTTTCATATAGTTTCATGATGGTGCATAGAAAGGCTGCTCATAAAAGTTGTAAAATATTTTGTCTATGACACATGACGTCAACGCTACTAATAATCTTAATTCTATCCTGGAATTCACTTAGTTTATCGGGTATTTTGAGTATTTATTTAATGAAGTTCTGTGATGACAGAACTATACAGTGTTACAAAAGAAATTCTTCAGTGACCAATAAGTGATTTTAGTTGTAAATATCATAGTTGGCAATAACTTATTTACGAAGCAAATATTAATTTACTCGGATTTGACCCACACTTTGTACAAAGGCCAGGCCATTACCAGATTCCCAAACAGATGTAGGTGAATTATAATTCGAACTCGATACCTAATAATTTAGAACTAAATACTTTTATCAACAAGACGTAAATAAAGGAAACTATCGTCCCTAAGTGATTAAATTTAATGATAAATTACATAAGATAACTTTGATGTTTCTCATTGTTCACTCCTAAAATAATGTACCCACTTCATACAAGTTTAGTGATATATTTAAATCAGAATAACAGTGATTATTATTTCTTTGCAGTTTAGTGAATTTATTATTGAATAAATCAATATCCGACATTATAAATTCATTGACTTATCAATTTTGTAGCTTAAATATATGACAATACGTACTTTTTTAACTAGTAAAAAACATTTTTACTATTCAATAGATTTTGGACTTACTTTTCTAACGATTATCAATAGTTCTACATAACGACAAGGTTCACATTGTGAAACAGAAGAAAAAAATAATCTTTAAGATCATAATCCAAAATTATTCATTAATTATAAATCTCTTAGAATAATAACAATAAGTTAGAAGTAGGTCTTATCAGAAAATATGTAATATACAGTAGCGTTTTGTGTGATTTCGTTCAGAGAACACCTATTGATTTAACAAGAAAATTGTTAAAGAACTTCATATATTTACTGATTGGTGAATGTATATAGATATTGATAAAGTTTTATGATAATTATACATGGATATTTGTTGTGGGAAGTTAGCTTTACACAGGCAGATACAACAAATTTTTGGTCACTTCGAGAACTTGGATCTTTTGAACTTATCTTAGAATAAAATAATGGTTATGCACTTCTAAAGGAATCCAAATTGAGACAAAACTGTTATTCTGTGATCTAATAGTATACATTACATATGTCTATTTATGTTTCAGCAACTTGATAACAAATTTCCTTTTTCCTGTGGTTGTATTTCAGACTAATTATGTACTAGGATTTTACTCAATACTTTTCTCTGGAACTTTCCTTTATTGTTGGATGACATGATTTTATTGCATTCAATAATGAGCTTATTCACAAAGGATTAACAGTTGTGATCAATAAATTTTAATTGATTTATTCAGTTTTAGCAACCAGACATCTTGAACAGTGTCTCTCCTTAGTAGAGGTATTCTTCATCTTTCTGTTGGAAACTTACTCGAGCCTACTAATATGAGCAACCGGGAAAGTGAAAAACTAGTAGGAAAAAAGCTCTCTGAAGCCAAAGAATATAAAACTTGATTATTTCCTATTTCCTATGAACATTAAAGAGATTGTTTGAAGCTTTCACGAAATGTATAAAATCCATGTTATATGAAATGAAAACAAATTAGTCAGTATATGGATCATTAAGCTGCAATCTGGATGACCAAAACTTTAATACAATCTTTCTATATCAGCTTTTTCATTAAAACTTTCAGTTGATCGAACCATAGCTAGTCAATAATATGCTTTAAAAACCGGTTCACGAATCGACAAACTCAAAATAGTTTATTATCAAACGATTTAATACCAGAAATATTAGAAATATCAGTCGATCAAGTGTCAGTTTAAGTATTGAATTATTTTTCTGGTTTGCGTTTTTTTAGCGAGTTAGATTTCTACAGGATGGGGTCGCTAACCCCATGCCCAACCCTCCTCCTTTACCCGAACTTGGGACCGGCAGTTACTGTAGAAGAGCTAAAGGCGGAGTTAGTTTAAGTATTAAATAGTAAAAAATATTTTTCACTAATCACTGAGATTTAGCTAGAAGAATACTTGAACTTACAAGCTGATCTTACATAATATTAACTTCAAAAGTTGTTTAAAATACCTACTTTTTTGCATAATCATTTGTATCTACTAAAACAATAATCAGTAGCTCAAATAAAAATAAAAACGTTTTATCTGGAACAATTTCATTATCAGTAGATTTTAAAAGACCCGAAGGCGACTTTCATCAAAAACTATTAATCATCCTACAACTAACAAACTAAAGAGTGAAATTGATAAGTATCAATTATTATTTCACGGTTCCTTAAAAATATTTCAAAACATAAACTAAAGAAAATAATTTATACGAATATTCGTCAAGATTAGAACGAATAGTTTGACAGTAATTAAGCGCCGAGTATAGAGAAGTCATTATATGTGAAAATTATATTTGAAATATTCTCAGCGATTGAAATTTAACTAATTCCAACGTTTCGTCCAGCTAACTTGTCTGGACTTGTTCAGGGTAATAATCAAAATCAAAATTATCAAAGAAATATATAGCTTTTTAACAATCAGGATTATACTGTGTTAAACCAATTATATTGGGATGTTGGTTTTTTCTAAAATAGGAGAAAATGAGTCAGTTAACTACAACTCATGTGAAAAAAATTCACCTACATGGAAATAATTAACTGAGTAACAAGTCGTATGTGTGTGAGTGTGTAGGTATGTTTGTATGTGTGAGAGATTGATATGAAGGAATAAATCTCGATGCGCAATGCTGAGGAGTCCCATACCGGGACGAAACGGCCGTCCAGTGCTTCCAGGTTTTCAATGGTGGTCCAGCTTCAACTGACTCATGATTTCAACCTGTGAAATTTCTTAAACTCTCCACAAAACCCATTCTGGTAATAATCAACTGCTCACTAGTGACTGACTTCAGGAAAAACTCCTGGAGTTCTAGTGAGAAACCGTTACCAGTGGAGTTCAACCAGGTCTGTTGTGAGATAGGAACTCACTGAAGACAATAGTGTATGGTGGCGCCCATATATACAGCCTGAACCGAAAAGATGGTATTCAATTGGCAAATTTCGTTTGACAAGTATATTTGGAACCTATCTCTTGTTTAAATTTGTTTTTTTTATATCACATGCATCGTTATTATTATATTGAATGAATTCAATGAGTTTTTCAAACAATACAATTTATGTATGAATAATATCTGCTCTAAAGATTATTTATGTTGAAGTATAACACCAAAGTAACACTATTTATCTAATGTAAACTACTCAATTTTCATACATTTACGATTATATAATGATTTCTAATCAAATAAATGAATAGAATTTAGTATGAGAATTATAAAACTATAATATTTATTGAGTATATTCTCAGTTTGAATTCTCTAATACAATGAGTGTATATTCACATTAATGAAATCATGAACACTTAAAGGGATATATCGATAATATTATTTAATACTTATTACACAAATACATGAAATATGAATTGAGATATAAGACAGTCACTAGTAAGTGTTGTTGTTTTTTTCAGGTTATTTCATTGATCTTAATAATAATGATAATTCTTACTATAATTCAAATGTACTAGATATTAGTCAACACAACTATATATACAGCTTATTTGTTATTGTAGCAAGTACTTCATATTATTTTGAAAGCTAAAAGACCAATGGTTAATTTAATACAGTTAATGCTTCAACCCTTTTTCTATCTATCTATCTATCTATCTACCTATATATATAACACATTAATTTAATATTGATTGTATATTAAGTTAAGTTCATAGAATCGAATTCATTTTAAAGTTATAGTAATGATATTTTTAATGTATTTGATTCAAATGAACTTCTATTGAATGTTAATATTAACCTTGTTAATTATCAAACAATATTGAATTGTTTATATCATCTTATTGTTATATTCATCATTTGTTTCCTGTTTTAATAAAGCAACAAAAGCAAAAAGAAATCTGTCTACATTATACAATAAAGGGAACCAGTTATTCGATAAAAGAGATGTATATCTAATATTTGAATATGTATTAATTAATAAATGGATTGATAAATATCTTTTTATGAATATATGATTACTCATGACTACGAATGTTGCATATCAGTTAGCTTGGATGGAATTATTGGATACAGAAAATAAGTATATCCATTTATTACAAGATGTTTATGATGTAAGTGAAAAAAATTTTAAATAACAGTCAGTTTTTTTTAAAAATGACTTTACAATTTCAAACTGTTCATGGTGTAATAAGAACTTTCATTAGTTTGAGGGAATACATGTTTTTGTATAAACACTTACATAACTGGCTGCTTGCTTGAGCATCTGGGCTACCTGTTCTTGTCATCTAGATATTTCAACAAGTTATCTATTTTTGTTTGTTTCAATATATCATTATGTCAATGAATTGCATAACCTATTCTGGCGCGTTTTTCTGAAAAGTGTATAACTTTTCACTGTCAAAGTTACAAAAAGCCCAATAAGAGATAATGTGGTCACTGGCAATATGCAGCGAAAAGAATATACATTATTCAGAAGTTCATTTACTGGACTGCTAGCATCTAACTGGCGATCACTCAATATTTATCATCAGTATCGATCAAGAAGTAGGAAACGGAAACTTGTTGAAATACTTTTTGCTGAAAATTCTATATTGTATCAAAAATATAATATTCAATAAAGCTAATAATAATAATGTTCAGGTTAAATTGTCTACAAGTTTGTATCGGTTCTACTTATTTACTGTTAAACTGGATAAGTTTAAGGGTTACATTACCTGGTTAATTGTGTATTAACATGTGTTGACAAATTAAATAACAAACTTCAAGTCTTTTAAATTGAATTATTAAATAATCCATTCAGGGGCACTGTCACTAAGCTGAATGATTACCAACTAACACCTTTATCATATGAACACATTTTATATTTTTGGTTCGTTTATTCTAATACTTTAAACATAGCCATGATAGAGTTTTTGTTTTTTCTAGAACCATTATTCTTAGGTGATATTAAAATAAATAAACGAGTAACTTGGTTAATAACTTTCGTGTCTTATCACCTTCTTGTAAGCAAACTATGTAACGTTTGAATATTGTTGTTATCATTAAGAAATGAAAATATAATATTTTAGATATTCTGATTAAAAATGAGTCATTTGAAAATGACTAGCCTATACTGACTGCTAGGCTTTATCAATAATCCTCCAAAGATACACTAGTGGTTTTTATCATGATATATATTTTTGTTGTTCCCGGAATAACGATTTAATCGGGGGGAGATCTATTAACAGATGAAAAGTTGTCAAACCTTAAAAACAGTTTTTATCTAACTATTACAAATCACTTAGCAGAAGTATGAGGTCAAATCAAGCAATTATATGATAACCGATAAATTGGAATATCCTATTTTTATGTTTAACAAATAAACTTAAATAACATTATTTAGAACAAGCAGATATGTCTAAATAGATAAAAGTGATTAGTTAAGCCAGTCAAACACTAAGATTTCAAGATCTAAGACGTTTAACCAGCAAGTTTATGTTATTTTAATCACAGTTCTGTATAATTATACTTTGACTAAAACTGATCAATTTATGTTCGTATATATGCCTCATGAGCGAACTGGCTCACTATAACATTTTTCAGCAAGTTTGATTGGATTTGAACGGCAGTTAAAAGCAGAATCTAAAGAGCTTACTTCGTCCCATTTAGAGTCCATCAGTTAAAAGTACGTGAATCCAAGTGCTGACGTTTGTTGTACTCATTTCAGTTCTTGATATAATATTGTTGAAAAAAATTTTCTCACGCCAATTTCTATCATTTACACAAAAACTTTTCTATTCGTTATTTCGTATATGCCAATTGAATTATTTTATAATTCAGAAGGTTATGATATACAAAGAAATCGAATGTAAAACATCAATTGGTATTACGCAGATTCCACTTACTCAATTAAAAGAAAAATTACTTGGAAATTGGTGTGAATTACTCTCATTTCATAAAATGTAAGTTATTTACAATTGTTTAACATAATATATAAGAACTTTCGTTTAAATTTAATCGAATAGTTTCACAGTATTTGGGCATCCAGTTCATGTTTAGCATAATATTCATCGTTTATAACCTATAAATTGTCTAATTTTTCTGTTGGCATATTCAAGAAAATATACCAAAAATTATTCTATTAAATCTAATGCTATTCTTGGACTTGGAGATGGTATTATTTTCTTATTGGTTAGTATTGATTTCACGTGTCATTTTCCTACTGGTCAATATTGTACAATGTTATTTTCTATTTTATCGTACGATGTGGTCTGCTTGATTAGTATATAAACAGAGTGTGTTTGAAATATAATGTTTCATAATTCAGAGGCTGAGATTTGTGTTCTGGACTCAACTGGCTGGGTTAGACAGGGAAGCGTTACCAATCAGAACCCTATGCCGTTTTACGTGTTTGCGCATCTCTGGTCCGATCGATAAATTCGCTACCGTCTAATCTGCTGCCGTCACATTTTCAGATAGTATAATTAGTCTAAACTAGACTATAATGCTTAATTAGCATTTAACTAAGAAAAATATTATAGATGAGATTCTATTGATAAATCAATTATTGAATCGATAACACTTCTGTATGTGTAGAAAATTGAAAATATTTAAATATTGTCACATGATCAATATTTAAAATTCAATGAGAATATTTAAAAATTGTTGAAAACAGTGTCTTATTATTTATCTTATCTTGAAAATTAAATAAGAAGTGATATTCCTTGTCCATTGAACGCTACTTGTTATATGTGATTATCGTTGATTGTTGTGTTTTGGAAACATTTATCACTTACATTCGAAACGACGGGATTCTGCAGTTCCCATGACGCGAAAGTTAGAACACAAAGACTGGTATAAGTGAAAAGTTATTATCCCCCCCTTCGAAAACACGACGATGACTGTAGTCGAAAATACATTAATTTATATGTTGATTCGTACATCTATTTTGATTAATAATTAGAATAAAATCACATAGATGAAAAATAACAAATCACATAATGAGCATAGTTCATGTCAATGGAATACAAGAATATTGTATATTATACAGAATAAAATATCATTCGAGAAAACGAAACTGAATACTACACTGAATAATCATCACATTGAATCAAAACAGAAGTAAATCAATCGATTTTTGACTTTTCATCCCGTTACATCAAGAATTAATGAACATTAACAGTTGAATTGTTTTTATTGTAATTAAAATTAGATATTTTGTTGTTAATGTTAAATACCACAGTCTTAAATCTAACATATTTAATATTATGAATAATTCCTGAAGTTGATGTTCAGGTGATAAATTTTCATTAGTCCCATTTGGAATGTGTTCACCTTCAGTGAATATTTGCGATACTGTCTACAGTTGAAATATTTAGATTTTGTTTTTACACGTAAGATATATGTTTACTGTCAATGTTTTGAAGCTCAGAGTACATATGCACCATACAGACGTATTTAAACCCAGCCCTGAATGTCAACAACTGGAAAACCAAAAACCCTTAGGAATGATAAATATAATATCTGTTAAACACGCTAGTGAGTACTTATACGCAGTTGCTTAGCAACTAACTAGCTTCTTAAGTGGTAGCTATGGGACTCGAATATGAATATCAACACTGAGATCCAGTTACCAGCGAATCAGTTATAGAGTCGCTTTTTCAATTTTTCAGATATTTTAATTTTCTACTTTCGACACCATTATTTCCTCATTTTATTGATTAAGGATTCTTTTTGTAAATTGCTCAAACATTGATACTGGATTGTTTGGCTGTTTTCAAAACAGTGCATATTTTATTAAGATTCGATTTTTTTATACACTCATCTGTTGTCTGTTGGTTGTTCTCTTGTTTCTGGATGCTAATTTTTGTCATTTTCTACAGAGTATATGACCCTTAGATACCGCTAGATCTAGGTACTATGTTTCAAATTAATGTCATCATTTACTTACAGGGTTTGACACGTAAAGCAGTCTTAGTTTATAATCCTCGGAAGGATTCTCCAACTGCAAATGTAACTCTATTGGCTGCGATAAGTAACCACAGGGACCTTCAGTAGAATGTTATGCACTACATAATCAAGAACTGAATTAATGATAAAGTCTACTTTTGTTAAGTGAAACTTTTCGAAATGACTGTCATTATATAATAATTTTATTTGAAGAAAAATAGAAAGTTTCAATTCACTGGAAAGTATTGTATTTATAAATTTCAATTTACATGATAATTTTCTTTGAAAAAATATGTAGATCCAAGTTACCGAATTTATTGGGGTAATTTGATTTGTCCTTTTCAAATCAGTAAACGAAAAATGTAACTAAAATATTTTCTCTGGGATTCTAAACTTTTAAACAACAAAACTTTTTTCCCACTATGATATACATTACAGGCATGTTCTACCTACATTGAAAGAATGCAATGGAAATGCTAAGATGATCAAATGTTGGGCTTCTGTCATGGTATGTTCTATTTTGTAATTAGTTTTCGAGTCATTTTATATATTAGTGGCCAAGTGATAGCCGTAATCTTCAATTATGCATACCCACTTAAAGTTTATTCTTCGAAGGTTTGTTTTATTGAGGAAGAATTGTTAAAGTCTGTGGTTTTACGCACTCATTGTGGAAACTGTTAGATCTTGAAAAGACTAGCTATGGTGAAGACCAAGAATGTTTAATCGACTTTATTTCTAAAAATAAACAATAATTTCTAAAATTTATGCATATTTTGCAGGCGATCAAATCGACACGAATAACGACACACAGAGGGTGACTCCGGTTATATAAATAATTTTTTCATTGACACTACCTCGCCTACCGTTTTAATCTCAACTGGGATATTGTATGATATGTCTGGCGTTTCTCAACATATGAATGATTGACTAAGCTACTGAGTTAGACAACTGTGTGTTGGTAACTTCGTGAGAAACACCTTCCATCCTGGTATTTTGTTATAAAGTTTATGTATTTCCATGAATAAATGCGTAATGTAAAAATAATATAAACTAACAGTTCTTCGAATGGCCAGAAGTAGTCGGTTATAAGTCACGCATAACTTTTAAGAAACTGATGCACCTTTCATACTTTAAGTATGCTTCAGTCAATGACACAGTAGAATATCTTCAGCTTAACTATTTGGTTTTATCCGCCACAAAAAGTGAAAAATATTGCTGTAATCAAAAACCCAACTTTAAAATTTTTCTAACCGAATCTATTCAGTTGTAAACTTATCTAGACGATAAAATTATGCTTAATTCTGTGAGGTTCATTGTAGAAATTAAATCAACATCTGATAAATGGTTTATCTATTCTACGACTGTTGGTTAAATAATTATAGACTAAATTGAAACTCTCCCTCTGCTATAATAAAATAAGAAGTTGGTACCTAATATAACAGAGTATTTCTCATTGTTGTACTGTCAACTCAGTTCGTTTAATTGAACACTAAAATGTGAGAAGGTTAATCAGTTTACTCGGCTGTTCAAATGGAAATCGGTTGACTGTCCGTTCAGAATATAATATTCATTGGCTTATGCATAACAGTTCCTTCAGAAATCTTCTGCTGAACTATGATTTCTACTGTGTTGATCCGTCTTAGTGAGTTCTTAAATATAAACATGCTTTCAAATGAAACATCGTTTAAGGATAAATGGTGTTAATAAATGGAAAGGGATATTAGTGAGTTGTTGTCACTGTAATCAAATGGTACAGTTAATAAAGTGTAACCGTCATATGTTGAACTAATTTATAAATAAGTATTACATTTGAACTTTTCAATAAACAGCAATTATCAGAACTATGTGATATATTAGCGCAATACATTTCGAACAATCTGATCACTCACATACTTGTTAAGAACATTTAAAAGGTCAACTAGACTAGAAATGGAGGGTAAGAGGAAACAAGGATAATAAACAAATAATACGAAAACAATTTGAAACCTCATCACTCTAAATATTAAGCTAATATCACCAGGGTAGGTTTAAGGTGAGAACAAACTGTTTTTGAATAGACAAAGGCGGTTTAAATTTTCGTATGGTTAAGGCTTCAATAAACCTTAGTATACGCCTTATAACACTTTTGTATAACACCACAAAAGCCGAATTAAGATTAATCTTAAGATCTGTTTCAATGTTGTGTTTCACAATAGAGGATGATGGATGTATATTATCTACTATTATGGGGTCATTTGATTTCATTTGTGTTTGCAACCATTTAGGTACATGTTCATACGCCCTAACTTTAAGATTAATCGTGATCTCCCTTACCCTCCATTTAATATGTCACATAGTTCTGATAATCTTTATCTTCTTATTGCACTACCAAAATTTATCAAAAAGACTAATTACTTCAAGCAATAATTCGTCTACCCAATAATGGCAGTAAAGAAGGATTTTGTGAATTATATTTTGCATAAAACTTCAATTTAACTCGAGTTAGATTGTGTAAATGCATGAAATGTCCAAAGAAGCAACTGTTGTTGAACATTCCTTCATTGTTTGGTAATGAGATTGAAGGGATTAAAGCCTGGTTAGATCAACTCACGTACCAATTAAGATAACCAAAATTTTCTGTTTAAAACGTTTCTATTCATCACTTTAGATTTTGTTCTCTAACATACTTCTTATCGTCGTTTTCTTTTAAAATTTAGGCACCATGCCTCATTGACCTGTATACTGTGTACTGTTTATTCCATGAAAAGACAAAACGACTATGTACTTATTTAGGAAACGTTTCACGTAAAAGTGTGGATTTAAAAAAAACAAATGTAAAAAATGAAACAATTGGAAATTATAACACCAATACCGAGTTATTTAAATCTCAACTAACAAAACCTGTACGACGTATTCAGTCTTATCATGTATTATTGAATAAACTTCAAAAAGAAGCGAACTTATCTGATGTGTAAGTTTGACTAAGGTTTTCGATAAATCAACCAGTAATTACGGTATATTCTCTGTCAAAATTCCATTCTCTTAAGAATTTATAACCCTAGTGTTACTGATCGGGTTAGGTTGCTTATTGGTTTCAATGACAGATTGACGAACCGATTAGTACAAATATTTTAGTCACATTTGGAATGAGCCGCCACCCATGTAATATAGTCTTAAGATCTATGAGAAACTAAATTAGTAAGGTTAGTGATTTTGGGTGTTAATAAATTTTACAAGATTGCAGTTAAGAATTATGATGAATTCGGCTCAATACCGAACCAAAGTGGAAGATGTCCTCCTGACTAACTTTAGACAATCAACTTCATACAATGTTTAACACAGGTCAAATCAGTAAAACTGGTGGACGCAGCGCAAACATTGTCGAAATATCATACACACAGTTCCTTTTATCGAAATAGTACAAATAACGCTAATAATCAGATTTTGTGACATTAACCAATACACGGTAATCAATTTAAGTAAATGCAATATTTAAATGTCAATGTGAAACAAGCTTGTCAGCATTTGAAAACTCGAAATAACGATGTGTAGGTGGACAGTGAATTAGGTAGTTCTCACCAACAAGTCCCAAACCTTACAAGATCTACTAGAAAATTAGGAAACCTCTATGGAGAGCAACTGGGAGGGGATTACAGAGACAATTAATTTAACGTGTTAGGAGGTGTTGGACCCCAAAGAGTGTCAGTGCAAGGAATAAGTTTTTGTAGACAGTTTAGAAAATATCCACAGGAATGAAAGACGAATGAGGTCACCCAATAACAGCTGAGAGAATCAATCGAATAGAACTCATAATTCTACATAAACTTTCTCAACTATGACTGCATAAGATAACGTAGATATGAAAGTCCTGAGGAATTTTGTTTGAAACTATGGAGTAATTGAGAAGATCGTCGCCAACGTACGGAATCCTAATGATGGACTACACTTCATAATAGTCCCTGGAGGATAGTTCACAGATGCATTACAAGTAAAAACTAGTATCCGAAGAAGCTTTCCACTATCACCCTTTCTCTCCCTTTTGGTATTTTGACTGCATCATTAAGATCTTTACGTCTCAGGGATAGCATGAAATATAGTAGACAACTTGAACCGAGCTATATGATTTGAACTTTGCAGTTGACTTAGCCCTGAAACCATATATACGGCAACAAATGAAGACAAAGCTCGAGTAACGCGATCTTATGCAGAAGAAGCCATCAACATTCAAAAGGAAAAATTAAGATTCTAACATATAAAACAGCGTGCACCAACCATCTCTGGAAGAGGAGGAAACGTTTACGTACTTGGGTAGTATTGTTGATAAACAAGGTAGATCTAATGCAGGTTTGAAGGCACAGATTGATAAAATAAAAGAAGCATCTCAACAATTGAAGAATATTTAAACTCAAAAATACTATCAGCCAACACTAAAGTCATAATTTCCAAAATTTATGTTAATGAAGTTCTGTTGTGCGGAGCTTTAACTTGTAAAAGGTACACGTATTTCTATGCAACTGTCTACACAAGATAATCCAGACTTATCGGTTAATGACCATCAATATTGGCCTTTTGTGTCAAAGAACAAACCAACCTGCTAGTTGAGGTGAAAATTAAGAAAAGACACAGGGAAGCTCTAACATGGAATCTTGAAGCCGGAGGGAACAAGGAGCACATTACGCTTGGACTTAGGGGAAGACATTTAAAGAATGGATAACACTTGTGAACAACTGAAAAAGAAAACATGGGACAGGATTATTTAGAGATCCCTGTACGGTGGCCTATAATCCACGAAGGATTTTAGGCTTGAGTAAGTAAATGTATTTTCACATAGTGTTGCCTATCGATCGCTAAATGGTCCATTTAATTAGATTAATTTTATCGCGAATTTAACCCAAAGTAATTTTAAAAAAGTACTTTCTAAATGTTTAGTAAATGTGGATAAAATTCATTACCCTCGTCATGAAAACGTTACTATTCTGATACTCCGACTGGTAGCTCCAAATATTCTTTATGTTGCTAAGCAACTGAAGCAAAACTGGATTTATTAAATGTTCTGATTCTGAGATTTTTAGTAATCCTGGCCAAATACTGTAGGCATTACACAGAATACTCGTCATTAAGTACATTTTATATATCACTATAGCAGAGAATAGTGATATGGAATTTTTCATTATTGTCATATTTACAAAAATAATTCGTCAAAATTGACCACTATCTTCAGAAATTCGATAAATATTCAAAGCATACTTTGATATTTACATTTTACCTTACATTCTGCCACTATAAAAAAAAGAAATAAACCAAAATTTTCAATCTAATCTAATCAGAATTTTAATGTTACTTATCTTACAGTCTTCAGTCAGTCAGCTACAATGTTAGACCAGGCACATATGTGCATCGGTTCAAGCTGCCACACCTCATTAGCACAACAAGATTAACACCAAATTCATAAAAGTAGGTACTTCAGTGGTAGTAATATATAAAAGAAAGATTACATTTAAGGATATAGTAAAGGAAGAAGGAATTAGTTCGTAGAAAGAAAGGTATAAAGTGCTTTTAATCTCATGGTTTAAGGGAAGACAAAGAATGTACACACCTATGCGATTGTGATCGATTCCAAGCTATTTCACCAAGAGCCTACAGCCATTAGTTACGATAGTCACGTGGACCCCGACCAAGTAGTCTGCATCTACCATCATGGCTCGATCAGAAGTTAATGACTTCATGGACTGATGCCATGTTTTGGTTTGGCCGCCTTTAATTTTCTACCAACCGTCTCCAACACTAGTCAGCATTGTGCGTAGTGGTAAACGGTGTTCAGGCATACGTAACTTTGTTAATTAATTAATTTTTGCAACTCCTTTGTATAAAACGACAAATTTTATCATTCTTAATTTTTTTAAAATCCGAAATCTATATTTAAAGTTTGTAATAATTTAAATTACAAATATTTGTACTTTTTAAAATTTAAGTAAACACTTGGACGATGCTCGTCAAATATTCAACAGAATATGTGATACAGTAAATGTGACAATGAATCTGCGTGGTTTGACGGTAATTATCAACAAATATTATCATAACGTTTTTATGAGTTATTAAGCTTTCCTAATTACAGATCAACAATCTATATATATATATATATATATATATATATATATATATATATATATATATATATATATATATATATATATTGAACGAATTCACTCATTGATAATGAACAGTCAACCACATTTAATAAATGTAGATACTTCATACACCAGTTATCCAGTAGAAAAGTAGAAATTCCCAGTTATCTAGGTAACGATTTCTTGTTGGTTGTTCTATTATGAAAATACAAAAAAACCTGCAAAATTCCGCCTAAATCGAACTCAGTTAACAACAGAGTTACAAAGTTATACAATTTTTAATTTGTATCAACAATAAATATTATTTATATCTGTAACATGTATTGTGATACCATGTACTGTTCAAACATTTCTGATTTGAAGATTAGATAATTTAAGATCCTATTTCTTTTTTATAAATTATCCCAATCGAACTTATTCAATAGTCAATAAAATAAATAAAACATTTAAGATTTACCATTGTATATAGAAGTTGGAATTCTGTTTATTCTGATAACTATCATTATTTTATTTAACTACAGGTTTATGAATAAATAATCATTGTTATAATCTTTTAGATAAACTGTGATAATTTCATAGTTTATTGAGATTGAGGCTTGCATATATTTATTGGTGATCAATTAATCTGAATTTCATACACATAAGTTCCTTTTGTTATTTTAAAGAGTAAGAACAAAGATTGATGCACCAATCTTTGTTCTTACTCTCTTTAATCTGAATTTCATAAATGAAAAGATATTTCATTTATATGGACTATAATTATAAATTGTTTATTTCTGTATTAAAATAGCCATTATATAAGGGACATATGAATGAGTTATCGTTGAATTATTTTGCGGCTAAAATTTCTGAAAAATATATCATTAGTAAAGTTTATATATGAAATGCCAAGAAAGAAACATTCTTTAAGGTGGTTAGTAAAGTCATGTGAATTTGATATACAATAAGAGAAATGTAATGTCGAGGTAGTTATGGTAATAATAATAATAATAAACCATATAAATTAAGGAAAATGCGTAGTCAAGAAGGTTGAGTAGGATGAAGGCAGAAGAGAAATAAATATGAACGTGAGTTAAAGTTAGGTTTTCATTATGTGCACCTCAGTAAAGCGTTTATCCTATTGTAAGTCATGGAAAACAGATCAGACTGAATATATATAATTTAGATAGACAAGTTTTGTTTTATTAAAACTGATATCAGTATACATAGTCCTTTTAGTAAATCATTCTTGGTTCATAAATGAATGGGTTTCCTTTTTATAGATATTAAGATCCGTATCCATCAGGTAAAACAAAATGATACCGGATTTTACAACCCGTTTCCAATCAAACGAGTACATTTTTATTTGTTAATTTCTTTTTCTCACAGTTTATATTACTGACCAATTTTATTTAGACCAAACCTAAAGACCAGATGTCACTGGAGAGCCGTGACAAGTCAAGTTGAACCATTTCGAGAGGAAACCAGTTATCAATATAAGGTAACGGAAGATCTCAGTGCAATATTGTAAACTGATTGAAAACGGATATTTAGGTTACTAGAAATTGGCTCAATAGCCTAGAGTTTTACCTGTTGCTTCAAAGAAGAAGGTTTTAAGTCCTATTTCTGGTGGTGTTTTGGATACTCACTGCTGATGAGTCCTATACGGAGGCAAAACGTTTGTCCAGTGCTTTTCGATTTTTAACCGTCATCTATACAAATTCAGTCCGCAATCAAAACTATAAAAATGTAACACTCTCCTCAGAACCTCTATACTAATTTATTATTTGCTAATAATTCACAAACTTTAATTATGCATAGATTCAATCAACAACACTCACGTAATTTGACTTATAGATCACTTTCTGACTAGTTACAAATTTATTTGTTTGCTTTACAGTCTGTTCTGTTCAATTTTAATTCTATTTCTAAAACTACTATCATTTTTTTTATTTCCAGGTAGCGCCATCAAAGTTAGGACATTTTTTGCTAGAAGCTGATTTTACTGTTAACCAAACAATCAAACCTACAAAGTCAAGACGACATTTTCATGTAATTTTATTTACTGAAATGTTACTGTTAACAAAATACCGTGTTTCGTTTAAAACATCAATTTCTAATAATAAAAGGTAATCATCTTTTTTTACTGAATGTTATACGATAATTGTTTATTTTTCAGCTCTGAAGATCAGTTTCCAAATTTGGACGATTATTTAGCATTCTTTGATTTTTCACATAATAGTAAGCTCAGTAGTAATAAATCATATGAAGTAGAGGAAGAACTTTGCGTAAGTACAGGTTCTTTTTAATTTTTCAGTAAAAGTAGTTATGAATATTGTTAACTTTGCATCATGGACAAAACGTTTAGTTAAACAGCGTTTGAAAAACAGAATACACTTAACAGTTGTTATATCCAGATACGAAATTCTTCAGGAGAGCGAATTCCCTACCTGAACAGAGAACAAACCTAGGGTCTTCAGAATTATCTGCTAGTGTTTTATCTTCGAACTGCTGAGTTAGTAACCAGCAATCGACATTTCCACAATTAATAAACTTTTAAAACCAAGTCATAAATTATTTATAAGACTGTATATATCATGAAATCAACATTGAGTCAAGGAGATAAAACAAGTACAAATTATTCAAAGTCATTTTAAATTAAAACAGAATTATAAAAGTGTGTAGTCACTGAGTGATTCTGAAGATGATGAAGCTAGTTACTTCTTGATCGTTTGTATGATGATTCACATGATTTTAGCAATTGACAGTGTTATGAACAATTTTGACTTAAGACGATGTGTACACTTGCTACCTAAGAAGTATTGGATAACTGTTGATACCATCGATTTGGCTTCATTATAATGGCTATTACTTTACTGGAAAAAAAAACGATGCACTGTCATTTCTTCATGAACACATAATGAAAAATATATCACAAATGAATCATATTTTCTTTGTATTTCTGTCTTTTTCTAAAAGCTACATCAAATTGGATTATTTTCTAATTCACATGATCGATGTTTCTCATTATTTACCGAAAACTATGGATCCACTTACACATTTAAATCAAACGATAATACAGTGAAACAGTTATGGACGAGTACAATCAATAAATTACTTATGAATCAATTATACAATTTACGAGTTAATACGGATCCACAACTACAGATATTCAATAGACTACCGATTTCAAGTAGTCACTTTTCTTGGCTGAATTCAAATTTACCAGTAAATCCTAAAGTAAAACAATTAAAAGAGAAATGAAAGTAACATTTTTAAAAATAACGTCTGATTTTTCATTTCGCTCACATTTTATGAATATTTTGAACAAAGGCAATTTAAAAACAGTTTATAATAATATTGTTCACAGTGTGTGTGTGTGTGTGGGGGGGTTAGTTGTGTTATAAAATCTGTTATATATCAAGAATTGCACGTTTTACTTTATTAAAATCAGGATAACGGTGTGAACAATGGTTTTATACAAGAATATTTTTCAGTTTTCTGATAAGTCAACTTACTTTATAATCCTTTAGATCATAGATTTCAAAAATAACGTATATCAATTACATTTTATCAAGTATTTTTTGTCTGGCTATATGCTTCGTGTTTTTTTCGTGATTTCCATAAAATACCTTACATTTATTTTTAAGAGTCGACATATGAAAGACTTCAATTCATCCAAGTTGATCTGATACATCTTTAAAAGTTGAGGTCATTCTCCAATTTCTTTGATATTATTTTAACTTACTTAATATATTTATAAGTAACATAGGTTTTTCTTGTTAATAATTCAGGTATTCTAGGTTTCATGGCTGAATCACTTTTTTTTCTTAAAAATGTATGTAGATAATTATTACCACCTGTTGATATACCGATATGGAAGTAGGTAATCAGTTAGCAGGTAGATAATTCTTAGCCTTTGGAATTGTCATCGTATCTATGGGCACTCGTAACTCTGGAAAGCAAAAAAAATGAATAAGCAAAAGAATTAAGTTTCTTGATTAAGTAATCTTAACTTTTTAATAAACTCAACTTGGATGCTTCTACATAATAAAGGATATGAATTTTGTCCAATCGATATGTTGTCATACAAAAATTAAGAACTGTTGTAAACAGTTATACACAAGTACACCGAAACTGTTTACATTAACTCATATTTTTTAAAAGCAGTCTTTTTAAATGTATACAATGCCCCAGATCAAGGATTTAAGTTCACTGATGAATAAAATACCCTAGATTGCAATGGGTCTGCTATTTTGGATAATTGAATGCTACACGTTGTGTGCTTAATTATGCCTTGGTGAACAACAGACAGTATAATATATTTGACTGCTTTGAAGTACACTTAAACAGAGATGAAACATCCAAATGCATTCGGTCGATAATCTTATTACATTTTATCATTCTCTAAGCCTTTATATCATCAAGATATAACAAAACTGAAGTCACCATACGACTAGAAAGATTATTTTTAAATGTTGCTAATCCAGTTACTTGATCTTTAAAAAAGTCATTAAAGACTATAACAGAAGTTGATTTCAGTGAAGTTCATACTACCGTTGGAGATCTCCATATTTAAATGGAACAGCTGTTTAGCACTTGTCAATTTTTAAAATTTGTTTAATTTAAGTTAGTTCGTGATATAAAACATAAAATTCAACAGCTTTCATAAAATCCTTGCAATTTTTGTGTTGATTTGTCCTAAACCGTTTAATTTTCAGAATCCTTATTTCCCAAAGAAGTTGGACACTTCAAAAGCGCATCTTCCAACCAAAACTGCATAATGATCCAATATTATTTACATAATCTTTTTATTGTGACAACGTAGTAATCACAGTTTTATATTGGCATGTGTTGAAATCCCTTCTGAATGATTAAACGTTACGTTTCTGATAACAAAACAGAATGTTTGTTACAAAAATGCAAGTTATTATTTTGCAATTTGTACGGTGGACTTTTATTGATTGGTATCACACATGTAACAAGAAATATACGAAGTGAATACTCAAAATTTATTGATCTTATTTCTCTATGTATTTTCCCTTTGACTTTTAGTTGTCTTAGCTGAATGTCTTTATTGTTAAACTGTTATTGACAACATAACCATTACAATACTAAAAAGGAAGCAAATTAACAAAGTTTATTCACAGTTGACTAACAATTTTTGTTATCAACACTGAATTTGGTTCACTGTCATCCGTGCTTATATTTCCAATGTATGTACACCTATTTCCACCATTTTTTAGGCTGAAATAATCATTGAGCCTGTAGCACTGCTTTTCCCTGAATGAGATATTGTGTCTACTGATTACTAAATTGAGCTGAAAGGTTAAAGCACCACCAAAATCCTGCTCCTGAACTGAAACTTTTCCTCCAATTCAAAACTGCGTGTGTATGTGTGTGTTTATATGACCAATAGTTTGTCTACTTTAACAACCTTAACCGGCATATATCGCAGATGTGAAATGGTGACAGATATAGTGTTTGGTTTACCGTTTAGAATCACATGAATATGATTAGATTAAAACATTTTATACAATATTATATTCTAGAGATTGCCATATATATGATAAACAATAACCCCATTCCAGTAATTTTACAAATAAATTGATCTTTGATAACAAATTCCGAAAAATGTGATTCTTTAAATCTTTAGATATCTTGTTTCATGTAGGAATTTTTTTGATGAGCAAATGAATAATTGTGGCTAAAGCGAATAAGATCAAGAAATATACATACTAATGTATATTTACTTATTTCTAATGAAAATAATTACCTTTTTCATTTCCCTAGTGTTTAGTCTATCGGTTTTTTGATTTAATAAATAGGTGTGTACTTTGGTAGAAAAACGTTATTAGTTGGTTTTCTAACAATCATATCATGAGGTGGTTATAATATTTTACTAGAAAAATGAACATGTCAGAATATGAATCTTAAACTAATTCTATTATGTAATTGAATGTCTTTACACTGAAGTAAACTATAAAAGTAAAGGATGTAGACAGGATAATTTATTAAATTTGGCTCCAAAAAAACCACTCTCTTGTTTATTACGATTTAATTTTTTTTAAAAGAAGTTTGTTTTATGTGTTTTTAGTAAAAAAACATAGGTAGTTTAAATGTGGAAAAAAATAATGATCGAAAACGACTAGAACAATTTCGCAACCATAATTAGATTATTAAAATTAGCAAAATGTTTTTGTCATGGACTCCTGAAGGAATAAATCAGTGTTATGGAAGAGACAAATATGGCTTTAGTGAAAACTCAATGATCAATGAGTACATAAATCTTAATCTTAAAAGTGATCACTCGTTAATCGAATAGTTGATGATAATATATGTGGTTGTTACACTGTGAATCCCAGGGTGATAAATAATTGTCTTAAAGTTACAGATACACCTTCTTAATAAATGCTAATTACCACGATGCCTAAATCAAAAACTACTTATTAATTGTTCTCAACTACGAAACATAAAAATTTAGTACATATGGGGTTTTCAACCAATTAGACTAGTGGAAACATTTAAATGCGATCAACATGAAATTTTACATCCTAGTGAAGATTAAATTATGAGTAAATTCTGAAAGCGACTAATGGAATAATATCATACATATATTCTTATTGTATAACTATTGAGTAACTACGTTATGTATATTTATATTCCTCATATTATAAGCTTTATTTTGACCTATTATGACTATTTGACTATTATGATACGACTTACTTTTCTTAAATTTAAATCGGTTTAGTGATTGCAGTCACCCACAATCACAGTAACGTTTTGGCTTAATGCTGTACAAATGTTATTTTCTACTTTATAGTTTGATGTTGTCTGCTTGACTTGTATGTAAACCAGGTATGTTTAAAATAAGTGATTGATGTAGTGGAATCTGGTATTGGCGTTCTGGATTGAACAGGCAAGGCTAGGCAAGAGAAAAGACCAATAAGGACACTAGGGTGCTCACACCGTTCAATCGGTCATTGTTTAGACACAATGCTGAGATTGTCTTAGTCGTATTCTGATTGGCGAATAAGTCACGTGATAATTGGTCGGGCAAAAGTCACAACATTAGGGATAAGACAAACATGGCATAGGTGATCGCTTAATGATGTTATCAATACATTCAACGAAACAAGCTAATTTGTTTTTATTTGATACGATTTATGTTTTTTTGGTGGTTATTGTGATGCTTATGTTGTGATATATTACAGTTGACGTTTGCGTACACTAAATTTGCTTTTACATTTTAAAACTATAGTTGATTAACATTATTTTAGCACAATCATTTCCATGTACTTTGATGACATGTATTCATTGAATTTTAAAAAATACAAATACGTCATATTTGGAGCTGACTTATTAGAAGTAATGTTCAATAAACGGAATAAAGCAAACTCTAAAAGCAACAAATGTTGATGATTATCTAAACATAGACTAATTATAGTTAACCTTTTATTTAACCAATCTTCGCGACATTCTGCTTTACACTTTGAAAGAATATTATATTCGCCGGTATGTTTGTATTATCTCTTACGTTTTATTGGCAATGTTTTAACTACTATTTGTTTATTATTTATTTAAACACATAAATTTTCGTACAAAGGAGCACCGAATACATAAGCGCTGCACAAATTGTTCGTTTCGTTTTAGAGCTAGGGTACTGCTTGGGTGCCCAGACCGAAACAGGTGATTTTCTTGGGGGACCAGTCTTCGAGCCTCTGACCTAAAGGTCTAATCTACAAGGCGGTAGGTCAACTTAAGGAGATGCAGTCTCATGGTAGCCGGTGACGAACAATAGGTTAATACACCGTTTGTTCCTTCAGGATACTGGAGCCCATGTGCACCATAGGTTTGGAATCAAGGTTTTCCAACTCCCTTAAGTGAACTCTCCGTGTCCACCAATTCAGTTAATGCTCCGGAAGTTTGCTTTTAGTTTTGTCAATTTTGTAAACAATTCCCCTGGTTCGAGAAGGCAGGGAGTAGGACTTCCCTGACAGTGGTTGTGTTTATGCGTGACCATGTGAGAGCATTTAGAGAGGGCGAGCTGACTCTCTCCATCTTCGACTCTAACATGGCATTTGAGGGCATTTTAAATTACGGTTGTCTATTTTAACTATTCAAAGATGATCGTATAGAAAGCAATCAAACATTATAAATTCAAATTGTGCCTAGAGATTCAGAGGAAGTGAAAACATTTGAAATTTAATGGCATCTATATGCTATTTTGTTTTCAGTTTACTTTTGATAATAAGAAAATACACAAATTCAGTGGGGAAAAAATCAATTCTGGACTTGTTATTTGTGATTTTGTTTTGACATTACTTAAAATAATAATGATACACTCAGTACTTTCTGAAAAATATTATTCATCGTTCACGAGTAGCCAGTAATAATGTTTTGTATTTTGTTGATAGAAATAAAAGGAATTTTATTACGTAAGCTGTTAAAATTATTTTCAGTCATCTTATTGAATAATTAGTTAATAGTAAATGTTTACAATGTGTTGCAGTAATTCATATTAACTTATATTGATTATCATATTAGTTAAATAAGACGTGGGTTATAACTTTCAGAGGCGATCAATGGCATTTATATTTACAGTTACCAGATATCTTTATGATAAAATAGAGATTAGGATTATACTGTAGTAAAGTCGGTATAATAAATGTTTGTTTAATACAGGTTATTAGTAAACCATTCTATAGTTAATACTCCATCACAAAATTTAAATTAAATTTTCTAACCATTCAATTACTGCTTCACATTAAAAAATTGGATAACTCTCCTAATTAGTTCATTTTTATGCTGTTCAATACAACACATAAAAGAATAGAATTTAGTATATATATATATATATATATATATATATATATATATATATATATATATATATATATATATATATATATATGTTTCATATAAAGGATGAATTTCTTTATTATCATACTGTCATTATTGATATAATGATGAAATCCACCTGGTGAATACAGGATCCTATATATAAGAAACAGCTGATTAGATTGGTTGATTAGTGTATTTTTTTTCGAAAACCAAAAAAAATCAATCATTTTATTACTAAGAATAATCAATAGGTAGATCATACAAAAATAAAACCAAGTAATTACGCCTGAATTGATTTCAAACAATTTATTTCTGAATTAAAGGATTAAATAAATAAGAAATTTAATTGTATGTAATAGATTCAATATAGAAATGTGTATATTAGAATATATTTTTAATCATTATAGGCAATAATAATAATAATAATAATAATAATAATAATAATAATTGTTTTCCGCTTTCTTGATAATTAACATTTATACAAAGATATAACTTTAAATCATAATTCAATCGTTTTCTTTTCTTTTTTCATTATAAATAATTCAGTTACGAATAGACTTATTTTTAAAAATTTCATACAATTATAAAAATAAAGAATTACAATATGATTTCATCGAGATTTCAGAAATTTCAAAATGGAAGAACCCGATAAAAGATTTAATCGAAATCATGAGTCAATTGAAGCTAGACCACCATGGAATACCTGGAAGCACTGGACGGCCGTTTCGTCCCAGTATGGGACTCCTCAGCCGTGTGCATCCACAACCCCGCACCTCGCGAGATTCGAACCCAGGACCCACCAGTCCCGCGCCAGGCGCTTAACCATTAGACCACTGAGCCTGCATCCAATGGTGTTAATGTCTAACCTCAACCAATCCAAGCCGTGACCAGTGGAACCAATCCGTGTCGGGTAGAAACAGGTGCTTACCTCAGTACAATGGAAGATGGTCGCGCAATTTCGTGGACTGGTTGAGGTTAGATATTAGCACCATTGGATGCCAGTTCAATGGTCTAGTGGTTAAGCGCTCGCACGTGAGAATGATAGGTCCTGGGTTCGAATCTCGCGGGGTGCGTGGTCGTAGATACACACGGCTGAGGTGTCCCATACTGGGATGAAACGGCCGTCCAGTGCTTCCAGGTTTTCCATGGTGGTCTAGCTTCAACTGA